TGAACCTGTCCAGACCTGAACCTGTCCAGACCTGAACCTGTCCAGACCTGAACCTGTCCAGACCTGAACCTGTCCAGACCTGAACCTGTCCAGACCTGAACCTGTCCAGATCTGAACCTGTCCAGGGCTCAGATGTGGAGACAGGAGTACAGCAGGAGCCCTCTGGCTCTGCTGCTTGTTTCTAACAAACTAACATAAATCTGCCCTCCTGAGCCTGTTTCACACATGAATCATTGAGTTTAACCTGTTTCTGGTTCTCACCTCAGAGTGTGCTGAGCAGCTGTCTGACAGGAGGGGGCTCCTTGCTGAGGGGGGTCTCTGGTCTTCTGGACCTGGGAGAAGAATGTCTGCTGGAAAGAGGAACGGGCCCAGTGCCCCCCCGCAGTAAACAGGAAGCTGTTCTCTGCAGACACCAGGTCTGTTTCCTGCAGCTCATCTTTGTGCAGCTGGAGGCCATGCTTCTGACCTTCTGCCTCTGGATGCTGTGCAGAGACTCCTGCAGGTCCTCAGCTCCCAGCTGTCTTTCCTTCAGTACCTGTTCCAGCGTGAACCTGGTGCCCTCCAGGGTCAGCAGGATGAATGGGTGCAGCTGGAGGTTCAGGTCAAAGCGCGGCAGCAGCAGGCTGTGGAGCAGGAAGCAGCTGCTGAGAAGAAGCTCCAGGTTTGTGATGTTTGAGCTGCTCAAACCCAGAACTCACAGGATACCAGTACTAATGGTTCTGTTTRTGTTTCAGGACTGGATCTGCTGGGAGGGTCTTTGTGCTCGGCTGGTTCAGCTGTTGGACCAGTCTGAAGCCTGCGTTGGTCCTGAGGRACCACAGGGAGGTGATGATGATGAAGATGAAGAGCAAACAGTTCAGAGAAGACTGGAGGCCTGCAGGGTACGTCCTGGAGCTGTGATCAACCATTAACCTGAGGCCTGCAGCTACAACACACAGCTACAACAACACACAACAACACACAACAACACACAACAACACACAGCTACAACACACAGCTACAACAACACACAGCTACAACAACACACAACAACACACAACAACACACAGCTACAACACACAGCTACAACAACACACAGCTACAACACACACAACAACACACAGCTACAACACACAGCTACAACAACACACAACAACACACAGCTACACACAACACACAACAACACACAGCTACAACACACAGCTACAACAACACACAACAACACACAGCTACACACAACACACAACAACACACAGCTACAATACACAACAACAAAAACGAACGTGTTCATCTCAGAAACAAGACTTCATGAATCTGTGCAAAAAACTAAAAGATTGTTTTATAAAGTTTACTTTGTGAGGAAAGCAGAGTTTAAAACAAGTTAAAACTTTTTTAGTTTTTATTTAGTTTGAAACTTTGTAATGAACCTGAACACAACCTGAAAGTCTGCAGCTGCACAGTTTTCATATGGATTTTAAAAGAAGATGTTTCTGATCAGGTTCAGCTGTTTTATATGATGATCTGTAGTTAGGCTCATGGTCCTCTTTGGTTCCCAAACTTGAGCTTGGGACCCAGTTATGGGTCATGAAGCACCTTGGATAATCTCCAGAAATCAGTTTAAAGGGTAATAAAATAATTGCTGATGTAATATTTTCCCTATAATTATTACAAAAACACAAAAAGTATAAATAAGTATTTATATTTGTGTACAAGGTGATTAGATTGTCAAAAAGCCTGTGTTTTTAGAATTATTAGCAATGTTTGTGTACTCAGACCAGTAATATTTGGGGTCACAAGTTTTTGCCATGAATATTTTGTGGGTCAGAAGATAAAAAGTTTGTGAACCACTGGTGTAACGTGTCAACAGGTGTCATCATTAAACCTGTTTGTCACCATGTGGAGTCAGTGCTGAGGGCTGGCTTCACCTGAAACTCCTCCCACTGAAGAACAGACCAAACCTTTAAGAAATAACTTTGATTTTTATACCTGCATTATTAAACTCATCAGGACACGTTAACTAACTTTAAACCCTTAAAAACACAGGACACAGATCTGCAACCAAAAGAGGCGTTTATGTCCTTTTTCCACTAAATAACCCTCATCCAGAGCCAACAGAGAAACACTGAACAACTCCGTCACTTTGGGTTTCTTTCTAAATAAAATGAGAAAAAATTAATTTTCAGTTTTTTGTTTTGAAACCAAATTTAAGAACTGAGAATAACAAAATTTAAAAAATGCTACTATTTGTTTCTATTTATTTTTGTATAATTTAGTATTCATATTTCTTAAACAGCTGCAGGTTACTTCCCTGTATGTTGGTTTAATGAACATATAAAAATAAAAACAAATGTTTTAAATGACACTTTGGGTAAAGTGTGCATCAATAATCCTTTAAAGTCTCTGAACCAGAGGTTATTCAGAACTGATGAAAAGTTAATATTTATCCTAAATACTGACAAACAACAGTTTTACTCAGAAGTAATGAAACAGTTTGTGTTTGTTGTGTTTCCCACAGAACGCTGTGCTGCAGCTGGATGAGGGTGGGCTCGTGTTGGGGACCCTCCTGGACCAGAAGAAGCTGCTGCAGGCAGAACCCTGGTGCTCTGGCTCAGTGGCTCAGGCAGGGGGCGCTCTGGAGCTGCGATGGAAACGTGCCTACAGGCGGATGGAGCAGGAGGTCCAACGGCTGAAAGAGATCCAGGAGCGCACAGCCAGGTGGGCTGTAGATAAAGTGGTACCTGATGAGGGYAGTTCTGGTTTGTGTGTCTGTTGTGTGACATTTAATGACTCCTGAACTTAATGTTTAAGTTTGTACAAAGAGTCTCAAAGTAACACCATCCTGTTCTTCTGTTGAACTGGTCTCTGAGGCTGCAGTCATGTTCTGCTCCACCTGTTGATGGATGTGCTCCTCCTCCTCCTCCTCCTCCTCCTCCCACAGATTCCACACTGACTCCTCTTCAGTCAACGAGCGTCTCCTCAGTGCCAGCAGACACCTGAAGACCCTGTCAGACCAGGCAGAGTCCTCCCACCTGAGTCAGGAGGAACTTCAAAGCACTTTGGTTGATCTGCTGGTGAGCCTCCTTCCTCCTCCCCTCTCCTCCTCTCCTCTCCTCCCCTCTCCTCCTCTCCTCTCCTCTCCTCTCCTCTACAGATATATAAAATTGAGAGAGTTGAAGCAGTTTCGTGGTTTCTTTAAAAAAAGGGCAGTCTAATGTTGGTGAGATGTTTTGCTAACAGAGACCTTCAGCTCCAGACCTGTTCTTCTGTAAAGCAGGACTTCTCTCTGGAGGCCGAGGCCATCTCCAGGATGAGGGAGTCGGTGTCGACAGAAGGTGCTGAGCTGCTCCACCTGAGGGAAGCAGSTTGTCCCACACTGAGGAGGCAGCTGGCTCAGATGGAGGCGGTCTGCAGCAGGATGACCTCTGACCTCTGCAGGGTTCAGCAGCAGCTGCTGCAGGTGCAGCTCTTTGTAGGAAACATTGTTTTAATCAGCTAGAACAGCAAAGCTTAGGATGTTTTTACAACAAAAGCTGCAGTGACCTCCTGAGTTTGAACGTCTCGGTGACGTGTAAGAGCTGTTTGTTTTCAGAACTAATGAGACTAAAACTCCCCTCCAGTGAGAGGAGGATAAACCTAAAGCATCTGAGGCCTCCTGGGCCGACTGAAGCAGGGAGGACATGAGAGGAAGGTCATGCCTAATTCTCCCTCACCATCTATCACCAGCCACTGGAAACACATATTTGGCAGAACTATAATTAAGATTATTTTTGCCAATTTCTTCTTTCCAGATGGTTTGAAGTCTTTAAAATGTGGAAATGACTTCAGCAGATGATGAAAAGATCTTATCTTCCAAAGAGATTTATTCTCCTTTGAACCAAACAGACATTTACTGAATGATTTAGTTTGAGGGACTTGAAACTAATTAAAAGCCTAAAAAGGTAGAGATGTTTCATGTTCCTTACTGTTGATTTATGTTTGTTAGAGTCTGATGGCTGCAGAGCCGCCGCTGAAGCTGCTGACTCAGCTGAAAGACTGGCTGGACAGAACCCAGGCTCAGCTGGACCAGGACAAACAACTCCTCTACCAGGCCAAAAACRCTGCTCAGTTTGCTGAAATCCTGCAGAAACATCAGGTACATGGAGCTACGGTACTCCTGCTGAGCCTTAACTGTTGGGACCACTGGTTTAATGAAGGAAACACACAGTGGTCACAAAAATAACTGGTTTAATGAAGGAAACACACACAGTGGTCACAAAAATAACTGGTTTAATGAAGGAAAAACACACAGTGGTCACAGAAATAACTGGTTTAATGAAGGAAA